ATCTCTGTGCCTTGGAACTGTGTGAGGTTACAGATGTTCATAGAACTATAGAGGTGAGAGAAATCTGTTCAGTCAGGTGAAATGATGGGAAGAGAGGACACTTAAGGCAGAGAGATGAGTGAGTCCATAGGTCCTGTCAAGAGTAGGGAAAATGTGGGAATTGGTTTACAGCTCAGTTCTCCAGAATAAGATTAAATGATACATAGGTACAAAAATTATGGAGAAATCGGTTGAGGTTCTTGAGCAGCACAATTATCTCATAAGTGAATGATGTTGTTTTGATCCTGAGAAGATGTTAAGTAATATAAAATGCTTTATTAACCGTTAAAGATTTTGCAAAGAAGTTCTGAGCTAATGCAACAGAGGCAGCACCATTTGCGACGGGCTAGCAGAGGAAAGATTTGAGGGCACTGAAGATCGGATGGGTGGTGTCATAGTCACCTGGGGAGAAATAGCACTAGCCAGTGAGGAAGGAAGTAGGGGTGTGCCACACTTGCATTTCAGAAATTGGCTTGATCATTGAGTCAGGGAAGACACCCAAAATAAGCAAGTTTGAAGTTTCAAACCTTGATAAAAGGGGTATTCATAGACGATATTGACAGAGACAGGGAAGATAAATGAGAGTGGGTTTTTGATAAACAAGCCAGAAGAGAGTGTAAGAGGTAGTTGAAGGTGAGAGTCTGGAAACATATTCCAGAAACAGTAGTTTTCTAACTACTTTTGATTTTTTTTAATTAAAAAATTGTAACTGATACATTAAAATGTAAAAAATTGTGTATACCAAGTTATTCATATTTATGAGATACCGTGTAAGGTGTTAATACATGCAAACTATATTTTTATTGAGCTTGAACTTGATATAGATTTCCCTGTTAGTGTATACTCTGTGCATTTTGGCAGGTACATATATTTCTGTAAGCAGCATCAGTCAAGATAAGAATTATCTTAGCATCCTAAAAAATGCCTTCTCACTCTTCATAATCAAATCTGTCACCTTCACCATCTCTATTCTGTCTCCATCTAATTAAAATTAAAGCTTAAAATGCCCTAGGGACCAACCACGATCACCAAGAGCTGACTCTAAGTCCAGCCATTTCCCTCACTGTGCCCAGGCAAGTCATCTTCTTGGTTTTCTGACTCAAATATTAAACATGGTATCAGCAGTGGGGTGCCAAATGGCATAGCTGAGTGTTTGGAAGCCATTACTCTACAGTATCATGGCACTGTTCTTTCAGAGTTTGTTTTCTCTTACCTGGATGGCTGTAGAAACCTCTGCAAGGCTTCCTTGCTCTGAGCTTTGTCCATCTGTTTTCAGCTGAGTAGTCCGCAAAGGTCCTTGTACAATGTAAATGAGATCATCCTGTTCCTCTCAACACCTGAGAATGGCTTCTCTTTAACTAAGAAGGGAAACAAGTTGTGAAAAGTGACCTAGAAGAGTCTGGACTCCCTGGCTCCCCTGTTAGTTCACCAGAGGTTTCCTTTCCACATTCCTCTTTCTCAGCTTGCCCACTCCAGCTAGTCTGGCTTTTTGACTCCTTCTCACACAGGTCAGCCCTGTGCCTGTGTATGGCCTTTGATATGTTTCCTGGTTTTGCTGTTGGTTTGCTTTAGATTGAGATGACATCCAGAGCATGCATTAGCCATGCTAAAGCTTAGCTTTCACTGCCTCTCACAGGCAGCAGTGTTGTGCATCTCTTCCCTTTCTATTGCTCAAGAATATTTCAGTCACTTCCAAATGAATTGTGTTCCCATTAAACAGCCCCTTCTCACTTCTCCTATCTTCTCTCTCTTACTCTCTACCACCAGCAACCACTGCTCTGCTTTCTGTCCTCGTGGGTTTGCTCATTCTGGTTATTACATACAGATAGAATCCTATAATGTGATCTTTTGTGTCTGTCTTCTTTTGGTTTGGTACATTTTCAGGATTTATCCACAGTTTAGCATTTCAGCATGCAATAGGACTTTGTTTCACTAATATTGCATCTTATGCATCTATAGATTGTCTTATTGATCCATAGATGGAAATTTAGGTTACTGTTTTAAAATTTAATTTAATTTTTTGCTTTTGTGAACATGCTAATATGGGCATTTATTTACAAATTCTTGTTTGAAATAATTGTGGATTCTATCTAGAAATGGAACTGCTATGTTTCATATTCTGAGAAACTATCAAACTTTTCCAATAGCTGAACCATTCTGGATTCCCTTCAGCATGTGCTTCCTCACTATTGGCAAATTTTCACTCAGACTTAACCCTCTCAGTGAGATCTACTGTGAGCACTCTGCTAACCTTGGAGCTTGCTCCAGCCCTCACCTTTATTTCTTTAGCATGCTTCTTCCCTTTACACGCTTGTCTGGCCTCCTTTTTAGATGCATGAATGATGTTTCATCATACTCACCATGTCATACATTTGGAGACTTTCCTCTTACTCTTTTGGAAGACAGAGGACCTTTGTGTCCAAGGAGTCCTTCTCACTGTAAGAGTATGTGTGTTTGGTTATAGGGAAAACTAAGTTTCTCATGTTTATTAAAACTCAGTGACACAGTGTTTACTGACCCTGCTGTACTAGCTGCTGGGTAACTAGATTTGCAACTTTGTGAATATTTACTATGTGATTGACTAGGTTTCCTGAAATCTTCTCAAGAGTCTAGCAAATTAGACATAATTTTCATACTTCATAAATGCCGATTGAGTTTATTTTTCAGGCCAGCAACTTCAACCTCAAAAATAGGCAATATTAATAACTATGTATTGCATTGCACTAACTTTCTAGTGATGGTTATGGAAAGCCTTTTGGCCTGAGACACAAATGAAAAGGGCCTGTCTTCCAGCATGCTCTTTCCCTAAGTCTCTTTACCAAGGGAACAGTCAAGAGAGTGCTTTTAAAGATGTCTACTCAGCTAAGTCCAGGGCACCCCAAGATTGAGGTATAAGTCCATGAAACATGGGGCCTCAGGTTGGAATCTAGGCCAGAGTGTTCCCTAAGCCTCTGCATCTGATCCCCTCAGTGTGGTCAGAGCCACAGGATTCATTGGGCCTTCTGCTGATGGCCGCCTTCGGAGCCGTTTCTGGGGATGAGTGGCTTTCTTTTTCTCACCATTCCAGTTGTTCCTTACATTCACATTTTCCCAGAATTCATTCCCTTTCAAACTCAGTATTAAGGAGGAATTGAAACTACTGTCTGTCCAAAGGATTCAGTGTTCTTTTCGTGAATGTGCTGAGGCTGACAAGAGTTCTTAGTCGTACAATGATACCCATGGATTATATGGCAGGAGAATTTGAAAATGTTTTGTGTTTCTTAAGTAAGAGATAAAAATTCAAGTTGTATTATTTGAATGTTGTTTCTATTAACTCTGGGTATCAGAGTAGGGGCTAATGATAATGTATTTTGTGACTAGAGAACATAGTTCACAGGGAAAAAGGGAAAGCATTTGGAAACAGAGGGCCTCCTTCCCAGCTGGATATGTGGCCTAGGTTACTGTGTTTTTTCTGGATAGTCTAAGAACAAGCAGGGGCTGGAGGGCTCATTCCTGCTATTGGCAAACACACTGACAAGGCAGTATAAATACTCAGTCAGAAAAAAACATCTTTATAATTTCTTCCAGTCACTTCATGGTCCCAGTCTCCATCTCCCGCTGTTTAAATATCTAATATTTGAAAAATCAGCAGTGGCACCAGAAGTGATAGGCAAAAGTGGGAATTAATCCCATTGTTCTCTGCTGCCCCACGTCCTGTAGAGTCTTCACAGCCGTCCTTGCAGTCTGTTTATGCCCATTGCTGGCTCTTGTGCCAGCAGGAAAGGTTCTGGTGGAGTGCGTGATGGTCCTTGTCATCCACAGTCCCTTGCATAGTTGGCGCGCTCTCTCTCTCTCTCTCTCTCTCTCTCTCTCTCTCTCTCTCTCTCTCTCTCTCTCTCTCT